AAGATTTGACATTGCCATCATGTTTAAAACACTAAATCTGCAAAAATCTGGATTTGAAATCGAAAATAATAAGCTAGAGAAAAAAAGATTGTATCAGTGAAAATATTATTAATATTCAATTTATATTTGAATAAGCAATCGACTTTCAACGCGAAGCATTTGTCTCACAAAATATTAAGACTCAACTAAATTTTCTTAAAATTAAATAATTTGGTTACTCGAGCTCATGATATTAAGGTGCTATAAAAATGAATATTTAATACTTCATCCCCAACAGTTCCTTATCAAACATATCGAGTGCAATGTTTTGATTGGTTGTCAAACACGTGACAGTTAGGATTAGACCAGGTTTAAATCCTGAGTAAAGATAGCGGTAATACACACTGCAATGGAGTGACACAGTTTACGATGTATAACAGAGCATACAGAACCTGGTGTGGAAAAACAACATTCACATCAAGGCATAACTGATATCACAATGTTTCTGATTACATATAAATATCATTACCTTATATCACAATGTTTCTTATTTAATATAAATATAATAGCCTTATATCACAATATTTCTTATTTAATATAAATATAATAACTTTATATCACAATATTTCTTATTAAATATAAATATAATAACCTTATATCATAATATTTCTCATTAAAAATAAATATAACATATTAATTAATTCATTTTAATTGCATTAGATATTATGTAATTCACTCGCCAATACAGAAGTAAAACAGGAGACAGTTAACAAGTCCATTTTAATGATTCAGACATCGTGCACCTAGAAGGAAACAGCCACTACAAAGATGTCAAAGAGAAAAGGACATTATTAAGTCAATAACACCGAAACATTGGCACAATACACGCTTAAACACAACAGCCACTATCAGAGTATTTAAAAAAATCAATAAAACTACAAAAATCTACACAAGTTGAAATTTGATGAAGTGAACATAACGCAGACAGTTAACCGTAAATTTACAACATCAAAAGAGTTTTTAAAATTGCTGAAATATTTGGCTTAGTACGATTAGCTGCCTTCCGTTAATTATAATATAAATATATTTGGGTAATGCTTTACAGCAGGGCTGGCTATCTGTTTAAGTAACTAGATACATGATTGTTTACGGTGCGTAATCTTGATAAGAAGAACCCAATTATTTGCAATCAGATTCGTTTCAGGAACGTCCTGTTCTGCGTTACAGGATAAACGTCGATGCCCGGCAAGGTATGTCTTGAGCTTTGCATTTGTTCTGTATTCGATACAGCTGAAAAATGAAGTATGCCACGCAAAAACAAAATGATTCAACTATAACCTATAGCACAGTTTAGATCCAGTTTGCTTTGGTTTCCTTCAAATTTCCTTTCATGAGACAACAAGTGACTGATGACTGTAACTATGGAAACAAATAACTTGGAGGACGAAACGGTACCCTGCTAGTGTGTAACAATGTCATATAATAATGCCTATGATTGTAAGGGAAAAAGGGGAACGTTTTCGTATCAGATACAATGTACAAACACATGGCGATAAGCATATGCTCATCTGTGCTGTTCTCTGTAGCAGAAGTGACAAATGAGGCCAGCAAAAAAGTTCATCTATATCTACCAGAGCTTTTGAAATTTTTTTTACATGGCGAAGGTGCGCAATAACTAATGCTCTAAATGTTTGCATTGACCTACTTATTCTATATAGTTTAACTGAGTAATAAGAGCAACATGGATCATGAAAAAAGATTGTCTATCAATTCAAGTTTGAAAAAAACATGCTTATAAAATATAATTTGTAATTTTATCCATAAAAGTCTATATCAGACGCAATATATATAGTGCCCTACATGTTTATTTGAATATCGATCTTAATGTATAAAACGCTTGCAAAAAATGTTTGATGATTTTTTTTCATAGTTTTACGTCTTTGCAACGATTAAGATCACAGTTGTATGAAGACAGGACACGGACAAAATATAATTTAAACTAAGCTACACAGCTAGCCGATTGACATAGTTACACGTTCCTAAAATCTCAGTGTCAAAGGTCACACCGTCAGCTCATTCATCTCTGAAATTTCATAATGAACTATTCCAATGTTAGCTCATTCACCCCTGAGCTTTCATAACGAACTATTTCAACCTTTGAATTGGAAGGGTTCAAATGTGTCTTCAGGGGTGAATGAGTTAAGCTATACAAACACACCAGCATGCCTATGCTAACAACGATTACTGTAAATACCGAAGTGTCTTCACTTACACAACCGTACACAGAAACCAAAGTGTCCAGACTAAAACGTCTCAAGACAAAGAACGAAAGTGTCAGGTATACTAAGGTTCCGTGGGATGTACTAAATCATTAATTTATCGTGTTTTGGTGGCGCTATCGGACTAAAGTGTCATACACAAGGGCCTATAAGTCTACTTCTGATGATGGGTAAGTAGCATCATCCTAAAACCATTATCAATGTCATCAATCACTGCTGTTAAAAACCAGAAGCGTAAAGCAGTTAGCTCATTCATCCCTAAATTCATATTTGGACCTTACCAAATCAAAAACTAGGCAAGTCCAGTTTAAATATTCAGGGGTGAATGAGTTAATAATGTTTCTTCGTGCAGTGTATTGACTGTACTGGTGCCGAGATTGTAATTGATGCTATATATATATATAAGAGGACCTCTGACCGGTTTAGCAACGCTCTGTACATTGGAACACCTACAACTTGGAACACGGCAGCTTGTTTCTTGTTATAAGTTTAATTGTTTTAAGGGGCACACACAATTTCCATTATGTTCCCCATGAACATAAGCAGTGCTAAGCTTTTATCTTTTATCACCAAGCTGCCTTCCCGTCCTTTATACACCAAATTTTCTATTCTCATGGAGGAAGATGTAAAAAAAAAACCGGTCTGGTTTTGTTGCGTGAAATGAAATTGGCAGGAAATTGGATTGCACTGGATCTAAATTAAGTTTTATCATTAAGGATTCGTGTGCCATAACTTGTTTACAATAAATTTTACAATTAAATACAGAAAACAAATGCAAGTTCAAGAGCACTTACCATGTAAGTCGACGATTTTCACCCTGCTACACAGAGCAACACGACTGCTTGTGGAACTTAGTGTTATGTCTATTAGTGTGTTGGTCAGTCGGCGAGGAACACGTGGTGTTGATGAAGGTCAAACGTGTTCTTAGTGTTGTAGGATAGTGTGTAACATTTATATATATATATATGTATATAAGTATTAAACATTGTCCATGACCAATGACAGAAAACAGGTTTATCTATATATCTAATAACTGTCTATAATATAATAGGTACTGGTACATCAGAGGAAAAAAGTACTAGCTATATAAAAGTTCCTATATATTACAACATGTATGATTAAAGATGACTACACTATAGTTTTTTTTATGTTATATTCAAAATGTCCTCAGAAATATTTATGTTCAGTAACAATTTGAAAAGTACATCTTGGCATTTTTTGGGGCTAAAATGGTTCTTTCCCTCACACATGACATTAATCAGTTCATATATATATTTTACAACATTTATTCTAGTCTACATTACTAAAACAGATACACATACAGTATGATATGTTACCGGGTTTTAGTCTATTGGTTACTCAGATATCACTACTGATTCACGGGTTTTTGTATACAAGTATTATTGTTTTAATCAGTTAATCACAACACTGGCGTAATGTCTATTAGGATGAATTTGGGTACTAACTAAAGGAATGTCGCGGAGAAGCGATAAACAAAAAACAAAACAAAACACAAACAAATCAGGAGGAAATAGGTAGAACAACACACCGCCTAACCTAAGCAGGCGCTAAGGGTGTTTTACCCTGACTATCACAACGTTATATCTATACGATGCGCAGCCTCACAAACCCGATCTCAACTTCACGTGGGATACTTCCCGCTTTTTAAACTATAATACATGTTGGAATGTTGATATCCACGGCAGTAGACAAATTTTACTCGCTGTCTGGACGCTGGTGTAGAGAGACGAAACGATTTTCAATAGCGATTATCCTTGTATATTTCTGTGAATCTAGATCTTTGTTAAGAAAACTGATTGATGAATTATAAAGCCGACTTTAACGCCAACCTGTTCAAAACAATAAGATATGTTTTCAGTTCATAGAAGTATACATATTATACAAAGTTACCTTAGTAACTCATATCTTTAATGAAAGGTTATTTTGATATGGATAATCTTCAAAGTAGAAAGTGCATGTGTTGAAAACAGTAATGTTATAATGTGGTATAAGATAATGTAGATAAGAGGCTTGTCGAGGGAGTTAATTCTAATAGTTTTCACTTAATTAAAGTGTTGGGTATCATATTTTAAGGGAAATAACTCTTACACGAATCACAGGTTTAAAGTGTAAGGTAAACCATATATTTAAATTAAATAACCCTAACACAAATCACGGATTAACGGGGTAGCCTATAGCCTCAAGGGAGATAACTATAATACAAGGCGAGGTGTAGCCTTATATCTAAGGGAGATAACTCTAAACACAAATCGCATATTTTTATTTGTCAGAATTTGTCACCGAGATCTATTCCTTATTGATACGTCTGGAAGCGAGTATTTTGCCTACTATCCGTGGATTTTCATAGCTATAAAGCATAATCGATCTAGTTACAAAGTACGTATGCCTGAAATCAGACGTAATTTATGAAAACAGGAATAGTCCCACGCGTAAAGTGTTTCGTGTGACGGAATCAATCGCAGGAACCACAAAGTCCCTTTGTGTCCACTTGAAGGCTGCTAAAAGTGCAAAAGCAAAGCAAGCACCCATCAACACGTGTATTTCTTATGGACTTTAAAGAAAACTCAAACATCAAGTTCGTGAGGTTGCGGGTAGTATACGTATTTGCACTTGACATTGTAAATGTGGTTAAAAACATATAAAAGTTATGACGATTTGTGGAGAAAAATATCGAAAAACTACAGACGAGACACGCTGAATTTAAGATGAATGTTAACTTACCTTCTATTGGATTGAATGTAATGGCAAGATAGACATCGAGCATTATCTACATGGCCGCTTATTATTTACCAAGCCAACATAACGTAACCACGCCCATAAACACGCGTACATAACGTAACCACGCATATGGTCACGTCTACATAACGTTACCACGCATATGGCCACGCCTACATAACGAAACCACGCATATGGTCACGCCTTCATAACGTAACCACGCATATGGTCACGCCTACATAACGTCACCACGCATATGGTCACGCCCACATCAATATCTTTATGCCCATCATTACACCAACAATACACAATCAACACTAATAAATAAAAAAAATGTTAAATTTAAATAATCAAGAAAATGACAACCATGTGAAAACTCAATTTAACATAATTATCAGTATCAAATGAAACGAAAGATTTAAAAACGTTAAAATAACATTAATTAATAAGATAAACCATCAAGTTATGTCATGATATGCATAACACATACATCGATTTTGGCAAACGAAATCAATTTTAAAAGAAATTAAATGACATAAAAAGAAATAAGCAATAACAAATATGAAAGAAACTTAAAGAAACCATATTAGTATTAGCAGTTCTATGGTAGTGTTTCGGAAACACAAATTGTCCATCTTAAAAAGGCGGGAAACATTTGTTTTCAATTATAATAAGAACAGTCAAGTTACAATACTAAGCACAGTAGTGGTCCTTTCCCTCATCTCTGGGAACACACAAATAAACCAACATAAGTTCTGAAAATGCGATTAGGTACCAATTGTTAAGTTAGTACGCAACGAACCAATTTAAGCATCAGCCCTAAAAGCTGCTACGGTAAGCTATACACGACAACATACGTCACACTAGCACGTGACTTTTTTTACAAAGGAGGTCAAGCCTTGTCTGTGCTCGGAAATGTTTCATTAACAACATGTCACCTTAAACTCGTGAGTGTTTAACGATATTATAATCAAAACGTATTTTCCTTATCACTTAATTTATAATAAAATTATCAACTTATAAATTAAAAAACATCCCAGTACAACTTGTCGGATTCCAAATGAGATTTATTTATGCTTATTTTTTNGCATAAGCTCACTTGGCACTTCGTGCCAGGTGAGCTAAAAACAACACTTTCGAATCTCAGACAAGGGGCTGTACTTATGTTGTGAAGATAAAACCTAAACATAAAAGAGTGAACAAGAGGCCCAATGGGCCTGCATCGCTCACCTGGTATAAATTTCACACTTGTAATCTTAAAAGTGGACTAAAATACAGCAACAGGCAGAATATCAGTGTTTGATTCATAAGAACCTATTAAGCGATTTAAACATATGACGCTTGTGACCTTGAATATCGAACAAGGACATAAGGTTGAAAGTGGGTCAAGATAATTCAACTTGGTAGCCCTTCATCCCAACATGCTACAGGCCCAATTTCAGTATCCTCGGCGGTTTGGTTATTGAGAAGAAGTGGTTTGAAGATTTTACGACATTTGACCCCTGTGACCTTGAAAGTAGGTCAAGGTCATTCAGTTGAACAAAATTGGTAGCCCTTCATCCCAGCATGCTACATGCACAATATCAGTACCCTTGGCCTTTTGGTTATTGAATAGAAGTTGTTTGAAGATTTAAAGACATTTGACCCCTGTGACCTTGAAAGTAGGTCAAGGTCATTCATTTGAACAAACTTGGTAGCCCTTCATCCCAGCATGCTACATGCCAAATATCATCAGCCTGGGCTTCTTGTTTATTGAGAAGAAGTTGTTAAAACATTTTTACATATTTGACCCCCGAGATCTTAAAAATAAATGAAAGTCATTTATTTGAACAACCTTGGTAGCCCTTCATCCAAGCATGCTTCTGGCCAAATATCATCACTTGAGGCCTTTTAGTTACTGAGAAGAAGTTGTTTAAAGTAAAAAGTTGACACCGGACGGACGACGGACGGACGACAGACGCCGCACCATGCCATAAGCTCACTTGGCCCTTCGGGCCAGGTGAGCTAAAAATAGGGTAGGTGATTTGGGATTTATATATTTACCGTTTTTAAGAGTTGGGGGAGGATAATTTAGCAAATTACAAAAAATATTAAAACATTATTATTAAGACCAGTTACATTCATTTTTTTCCTTATACTGTTTGGCGTTTTGAGTAATAACATATGATTTAAATTTTATTTTGATACCTGCCCATGAAATAGAGGGGTGTCACATCGTTCAAACGAGATGAAATTGTGAGGGTCGGAGGTAGAACTAAGGTCAGTAGGGGTCCCTGGAACATATATTATTTAGCCTAATCCTTTGTATGATAATCTGAATGATCAGACATGGAAATAACATTAATGTTATGGTTTAAATGTATATTCCAATATCATTGACCTATTCTTTATCACGTTCCGTTTAGAGGTCGAAACCTGTACAGAACTTCGTATATATCACTTAACAGCTAAAGGTGAAAATGTAACACATGACAGTGAGATGAATAACGTATATAAATTCTTCCATACGACTAAATGCATTTAACCTACTTCTCTCGAAAAAATAAAGCATCTTAAAGTATTTCATCCCCCTACTTTAATGTATAAAATATCACTATACAACATAACACACCTCTACTCCGCCCCTCTCCATATCTTATTGTACAAAATATCACTAATCAAGATAACATACCTCTACTTCGCCTCTCTCCTTATCTTATAGTACAAAATAACACTAAACAACATAACACACCTCTACTCCGCCCCTCTCCATATATTATAGTACAAAATATCCCCATACAACATAACATACCTGTACTCCGCCCCTCTCCTTATTTTATAGTACGAAATATCACTAAACAACATAACATAACTACTCCACCCCTCTCCATATTTTATAGTACAAAGTAACACTACATCATTGCATAAATCCAGCCCTCTCATTAGCATACGGTTTTATATAAGAACTTACATTACTATATACAAAATGACATTATAAAGCGTTATTTAATTACCCCGATCTCCTCCTTACCTACACATATGAGATAGACTATATTATTTAGTTACCCCGATCTCCTCCTTACCTACAAATATGAGATAGACTATATTATTTAGTTACCCCGATCTCCTCCTTACCTACAAATATGAGATAGACTATAATACTTCATAGATATGTTGTGTTTACCTGAGCTACCCTAATCTTGCATCTAGCCATTCAATATTATTTAACTTCACACACCATCACTTGACAGCCTTCACTGGAAGTAAATAGGGGTAAATACAATATAAACGTTTCAGTAAGCAACACAACCATGGACCAAGTAAAGCACATGTAAAGCACATGTATTCCTATAACATCACAGCTAAGCGTCATTGAAATGGCTTCTGTAGGACCTAGCTTAAGGATAAGCAGTGTGGAAATACATATGGCATATTAATAGTTAATTTTACATTGCAGTAGAATTCAAGCATTTGGAGCAACTTTTACTATGATAATTACAGCTAAGTGAGGGATTCTGATTTAATTATCCACCCAGATCGTATCATATAACTTACTTTATGTCTTAAAAAGGTAACAAAATATCATATTGTATCTCGGTATTCAGTAAAACGTCAAGGAAAGTAGGTTTATATCCCCAACCCAATATTTTATCAATTTATCTGTTACATACACATTCCCTGTGGGGTCCTCTTCAATATACTGGAGATAACTGGATAATGTAACTATATTTCTGGTTATTACTGTTCTACCTAAATTTCAATGAAAAAATAATCATCTGAGTTATCCGATATCCAAATCTATTTATTTCCCGCTCATAGTTTATTTTCATCTTTATTAAACAACAGCTATGCAAAAACGTCCAGAACAAATTACGCGATTAAATACAACAGCATTAAAGGGGAGATAATTGACATCATTATTTTATATTTATCATTGAACGATTTGACGACAGATTGTGTGTAATTCCATTCAATTTAAACTTCTCATTAATGGTTGTGATCTGTGAATTTTAATATGGTTTATTTACTGCTAACTTAATTAACTAAGACAATAAACAGAGTTTGTTGTTAGTCTATAAGAGCAGCGATTAGCATCGTATTGTTCATCTTTATCTTTATACATATGAAAACAAAACTGTTTTAAAATAATCAGGCGGGAGGAAGCAAAACGAGAAAAGAATAATTTAAAGCCACAAAAGAACAACCTAATTTAAATAATTTGGTTAAATACGAAACACATACCGTTATGTTTTGACGTGGCAGAATAGATACTATTAACATAGGTTGGTATAATACGGTAGAATATAGAAAAGATAATCAACTCACGCGTCGAAATGGGTTTTATTTATCATTGCTCATTCCCGTTTTATATTCCCAAAAAATAAACGCACATACAATGTAAATAAGTGTTTTTTTCTACATTCCATAACTTTCAATGTATTAGTTAACTCCATCAATAGACTCAATATGTTCCTAAACTCAATACAAGATATTCATTAATACACTCACTAAGTCAGACTTATTACTCATTATCATACCTCTACTTTATTTACTCTATATAAAAGTAATTGGTTAAATCGAACATATCCCCACTTTTGCCTGACTGTGTTTTAATCCTGTGTTTTAGTCTGGGAACTAAAACACACCTACAATCGCGTGTTTCCGTCGAGCCAATCAGGCGAGAGGTGGCCGGAGCTTGTTACCGAACTCGGAAGCGACGCGCGAGGTGGGCGGAGCTTGCTACCGAACTCGGAAGAATTTGATCCATTGCCAGAAAGGGGTAGCTAGGACGTGAAGCTATACAGCTTATGGTTTATAAATATTTTCTAGTTAAAACTATCACTCCAGTGGGTATCGGTATAATAAAACGGTTAGAGTATGGGGTTGAGGGATATAGCAGGTTTCTGGTGTCCCTTCACCATGCCTATTTCCCTCGACTTCGCCTCGGGAAATATACCTGTTCTCGGGACCCCAGAAACTTGCTATATCCCTCAACCCCATACTTTAACTGTATACTATATCAGACAGGT